ATGTCTCATATATTAGACTATATAGTAGCAACGGTATAAGATAGAGGTACCAGTCTATCCGCCGGCAACATCGTTACAGCGAATTTAAGGACGCTGTCTAACAACGCACCGATAAGGTTCGTGAAACACTTTAACGAGCGGACGTTGTAGGACAGCGTTAGGCTCTCGCTACAAGAATTCTAAGGATATCCTTAAGATGGTGTTTTTACGAGTAGCTTCGTGAAACGGGCCCCGTGACTACCTGAATCTGCAATGTCTGTGGGTGCAAATGAATATAGCTGTTCATAGTGCTTATTGCCCTGTGTACAACAAGCATGGTTGGCAAGATAGCACGGACACATAATACAAGATGCGGTGTGGCATAATACACTGTAATAGCAAAATGCCTTACATTTCACTTTCTGCTCTTGGTCCTCTCATTTTACTAGCATCCTGACCAGTTGTTGTGCAGGCTCCTGTGTACCCATTTTCAGAAAAGACTCGGCTGTTCTCCTAGCGAGCGTGCATGCCTGAAGCTAAAAAAAGCAAATACTCACATCCTTGCCTTGAGGCTACATAAGTACTCACAATAATGAAGAACATCAAGCTAAATTACAGAGCAAATACACATGCACAGACAAGAACAATGAGAATTCGAGTGAACAACTTTACATATATATGGTTAGTGTGATCGTGTTTACCTTTCACTTAGCTGTCAGAATGGCCGATTTGTTATACAATTGTTGTATTTAGGCAATTTTCTAAGGAAAGTCAAGCATACAAAGAGCCTGAAAGTGCACTACTAATTAAACCTCTAAAAAAATCCTAAAATGCTATTAAACCCTAACATACAAATCAGCATTTATTCAGAGAAAAAAATGCTTTCCATTCTAGTTATTTCCACAAAATTTTGATCACTACCTTCAAAAATGCCTCTTTCTGTTCCTGGTGTTTGTTGATCAGCTGAGAAATGAGTGTGGCTTTATCCATTTGGCCAGTCTTGTCCGAACAGCACCAGTCTTCGTCTCGTTTGTATTCACGTTCAAGAGACTCCAAAACAGAGTAAACCTGCAATGATGCAAGGAAACCCATAAATAAACAAACAAGATAACAAGAATAACTAGACAGAGTGCACTCACGAAGAGTGCATACCTCCGCCAGCAACATGCTTGCTGCCTCGCTGGCTCGTGGGTGAGTGATATCGATCGGATCGCCGCGCTGATATCGATCGCTGCGAACACACGAACCCACGAACCACAAGAGCCGAAAAACATAACCTCCTCCAACTCCGTTGGGCGGAGGTAATGATCAATGCCGCAGTGTGATCTTGCTCATCTCAGGGCTACTGCTTCACCACTACTCGTGACCTTACTGGCATTGCTATTGACAATCATACTGCTGTGGCTGCTGCTGCCGCTGCTGCTGCTGCTCCCAGTCATAGTGCTAGTATTGCTGCCAAAACCACGTGTTGTTACTGCGCACATACTGCATGACTGTGTATGGCGCACACGTGAGTGGAGCTGTCGATTACAGGTCCATCTAGAGCACATTTAAGAACATCTCGGTGTGTTTCATCCATAGAAATATATATATATATATATATATATTATAGTAACTGAGTGTTTACTCTATATTGAGTATGGCTTTTACATACTTATAATACTTTTGTGTTATGGAAGTATTATAATAGTAATATAACATTAGAATTTTGACGACATTCATGCGCACGTTGGTACTGTTTCCTTTCTGTGACGCGTGCAGTAGCGAATCGTGACCTACGTATTACCGTAACCCTAGTGTGTATCGTGTTACATCTCTAGATAGCTAGTCACCTCCGTGTTATGACAGGCAGAGGGTCGGTAGCCTTACCAGGTGTAATAAACTCATTTCTCACTGACGATGAAGCCAAAATTGGCCGTGAAGCTGCCTTGGCTTAAAAAAGTCACACCAGCAATGGTCACACTTATCTCAGCCCTCACAGTCAGCCATGCTGGTCTGCTAGCCCCCGACCTCGCCCTCCCCCTCCCCGCCGGACCGTATAGCTTCGTGTTAGCGACGTCTGCGTCACCTGTTCGGCGGGTCTTGTAGAAGGTTCATCGGGAGGCGTTCGGGGAGGGGGTTGGTTACGGTGTGTGTAACGGAGGCTCGGGAAGGGTGGACGACCGCCCGGTCCATCGGTTGCTCGTCTCTGCCAAGCTCGTGTGGCGCCTCGTCGGCACGCACCTATCAGCTTGCTGGCCAACATGTCGTGAGCACCGACTCACAGCAACGCCTGTCTGCACGGCGTCCAGGGTTCGTAGTGGTCGCCGCTCTTCAACATCAGCCTCTGCGTCCTCTGCTGGATCTGCATCCGCGCCTCAGGCCCCGTCGTGTCCCTTGTCTTATGCAGTGTTTGTTCTCGCAGGACGGTGGAGGAAGCCGATCTGGCTTACTGCATGGCTTCGCGGACACGTCACTCCGCGCTCCGACTGCTGGTGTCTCCTCCTCTTCGACGCCACAGACGCCGGCTAGGGTTCCTGTCCGTCCAAGCGAATGCTATGTGTAGAACGGGGCCATTCCTGGTGGCCTTATATTCTGGGTGTGGTACCGCCACCACCCCTACCGCTTCGACTAACGTCACTCGCTTTAGTAATGGGCCCCCACGACGCTCACTAACGAAGAGTTCCCAGGGTAAGATAACTGGAGCATGTACCTACGAC